TTGATGTATTGTAGAGACGAGGTCTCACCAAGTTGCCCAGGCTGGTCTCAAACCCCTGGATTCAGGCAGTCCTCTCGTCTCCACCTCCCAAAGTGCTGGGATTACTGGCATGAACCACCACACCCGGCCGACTTTGACTTTCTTTAGGATTTTTCTGTCCATGAAGCTAACCTCCTCTACCTGACTCCTTGGAACACGTTATTTTTTGTAGAGATGAGATGTCACTATATTGCCCAGGCTGGTCTCAAACTCCCGGGCTCAAGTGATCCTTCTGCCTCAGCCTCCCAAAGCTCTGGGATTACAGGCATGAGCCATCACACCGGGCTTGGAACACCTATTTTATGGAATGAAGAAAGTCCTGGAATTGCAATAAAGCCAATTGAGAACTTTGAATTTGTTAAGATTTTGTCCTTTTGATAAACAATCCAATTTTACAATTGTACCCATGAGTTTTTTCTTGCCCTAATTCTGACCCTGCTGATTCTGTTGAGGTTTGGGCTTGTTTTTTGGTTTTAGATTGGAAAATATAGTTTATTTAGAAAGTAAGCCGGGCTCGGTGGCTCAGCCTGTAATCCCGTGCTTTGGGAGGCTGAGGTGAGTGAATTGCCTGAGCCCATGGGTTCAAGACCCACCTGGGCAACTTGGTGAGACCTCATCTCTACAATAAATCAAAAAATCAGCCGGGCATGATAGTGCATGCCTGTAGTTCCGGCTACTTGGAAGACTGAGACGGAAGGATCGCCAGAGCCCAGCAGGTCGAGGCTGCCGTGGCCAGGAGCATGCCACTGCCCTCCAGTCTGGGCGACAGAGTGAGACTCCAACTCAAAAAAAAAAAAAAGAAATAAGCTTCATCTAATTGAAAGTTAATAACACAGGGACACAGACATTCTTCCGTCCTGCTCCCCGCCGTCACTACCTTCATTTTGCTCTGGTTTCTGTCTTGTCTCTCTAGAAGTGGCTTTCGAGCTTCTACTGCCTTTAAGATTAGGACTACAGGAAGTCAAGACTGCAGTAAGCTGTGACTAGGTGACAGAGACCTTGCCTCTAAAAAAAAAAAAAAAGAAAGAGTAACAGCTAAGCTCGGTGGCTCATACCTGTAATCTACAGGAGCATGCCACCATGCCCGACTGATTTTAAATTATTATTATTATTATTATTATTTTTGAATTGGAGTCTCACTCTGTCACCCAGGCTGGAGTGCAGTGGCACGCTGCTCATGACCACCACAGCCTCGACCTGCTGGGCTCAGGCAATCCTTCTGCCTCAGCCTCCCAAGTAGCTGGGACTACAGGCACATGCCACCGTAACTGACTGATTTTTAAGCTACTTGTAGAGAATGAATCTCACTACCTTGCCCAGGCTGGTCATGAATTCCTAGCCTGAAGTGATCCTCCTACCTTGGCCTCCAGAAGACTTTGGATTACAGGTCTGAGCCACCGCATGCAGCCTATGCCATTAATTTAGAAAGGACCGAATACTAGCCAGGTGCAGTGGCTTACCTCTGTAATCCTAGCACATTGGGAGGCAGAGGCAAGAGGATTGCCTGAACCCAGGGGTTTGAGACCAGCCTGAGCAACTTGGTGTGACCATGTCTCTATAATAAATTTTTAAAAATCAGCCAGGTATGGTAGTAAAAAATCAGCCATGTACCTGTAGTTCCAGCCACTTGGGAGGCTGAGACAGAAGGATCGCCTGAGCCCAGCAGGTCAAGACGGCGGTGGCCGGGACGTGCCACTGCACTCCAGTCTGGGCGACAGAGTGAGACTCCAACTCAAAAAAAAAAAAAATTTTTTTTATTAAGTCGGTCTCCCTCTGTCACCCAGGCTGGTGTGCAGTGGTGACATCATAACTCACTGCAGCCTCAATCTTCTGGGCTTAGGCAATCCTCCTGCCACAGCCTCCCATGTATCTGGGACTACTGGCACATGCCACCACCCACGGCTCACTTTTAATTTTTTTGTAGAGACGGGGTCTTGCTGTGTTGCCCAGGCTGGTCTCAAACTCCTGAGCTCGAGCGCTCCTCCCACCTCAGCCCCCCAAAGTGCTGGGATTCTAGGCATGAACCACTGCACCCAACCAAATGGTTCTGGGTCTCAATGACAGAGATAGTCCCACGAATCCACACATGATACGATGACGTTACTATGTACACACATTGTGCCAATGTCATAATTCCGGTTCTGACATTGTACTGTGATTACATGAGATGCAACCATCAGGCGAATCTGGGCGAAGGACACACGGAACCTTTTTCTACCATATTTGCAACTTCCTGTGACTCTAGAATTATCTCCAAATAAAAGGGGTTTAAAAAAGGCCAGACGAGGTGGCTCACACCTATAATCCTATAGTCCCAGCTACTTTGGAGGCCAAGATGGGAGCATTACTTGAGGCCCAGAGTTCAAGACCAGCCTGGGTATCACAGTGAGACTCCCATCTCTACAAAAAATTCCAAATATTAGCTAAGCATGGGGTGGCATGTGCCTGTAGTCCCAGCAACTCAGGAGGCTGAGGCAGGAGGATCGCCTGAGCCCAGGAGATCCAGGCTGCAGTGAGCCTAATTGTACCACTGCAATACAGCCTGGGTGACAGAGTAAGACTCTGTCTCAAAAAAAAAAAAAAAGTTAAAAACAGAAAAGATGAATTGTTATTGTTAAGTGATATGAATCTTTTTAGATTTTTTGTTTTTGGAGTCTCACTCTGTTGCCCAAGCTGGAGTGCAGTGACACACTCATGACCACTGCAGCCTCAACCTGCTGGACTCCGGCCATCCTTCTGCTTCAGCCTTCTAAGTAGCTGGAACTACAGGCACACACCACCACGCCTGGCTTATTTTTGATGTATTGTACAGAGGAGGTCTTGCCAAGTTGCCTGGGCTGGTCTCGAACCCGTGGATTCAGGCAATTCTCACCTTGACCTCCCAAAGTGCTGGGATTACAGACGTGAGCCACCACGCCCAACTATCATTTTAGACAATTCTAAGACCCATGTCTTCATATTTAAATGTCCCTGATATTATGTCACCAACTTTAAACAAATAAAATAAAAAGGAGCCAGGGTCGGTGGCTCAGCCTGTAAT